CGTCAGAGTCGTACTCCATCTCCTCCTCCACAACACAAGCCCCCCCCACTCACCTCTGGACCAGCAGCCTGACTTTGGTCAGCTTCAGCTGTCGGCCCTTTACTGCTGCCTGCTCCACTTTCCCTCATACCTTCCTCTGCTCCTGCTGTCAGTGCTTCCTCTGCTACTTTCCCTTCCTCTACTACTTCTACTTCTTTCCTTTCCTCTGCTACTTCCCTTCCCTCTGTTGTGAGACTCAGAACAGCTGAGTCCTCATCAATAATTGTATCTCGGCCTGAATCAGCTCTCTGTTCCCCGTCCTGACTGTCTGTATGCCCGCTATGCCCCTCCTCGGCCATGGCCACGGTCGGCGGGGTGAAAAGATGCCACTGCGAAGGATGAATTGGGATTATTTTTAACGCGTCTATGATGTCCGTTTTGGAGAGCCATGCACCCCCTGCCCGGCTAGTTTGATGAGCTTGATGGCGTTGTCTACGGTGGCGTAGTGAAGGGAAAAAGGCTCGGGAGGAATGAGACTATTAACGCTGGCTGTTGGCCCCATGTGGGGGGCGGAAAGATCGAATATTAATCTTTTCTTCCCGGAGTATTTCCTAGTTGCTACTCATATGGGGCTGGATCGGAACACAGAGAAGGGCGAAGCATTGAAAGGTCCTATTACGTACCCCTTGTCGACCTCTTTTTTAAGAAGATTAGATACTACCGTTGTTTCTTTTATCGCGGACTGGAGGTTTTTGGACACGTGAGAGGACTCTAGCGGTGAAACGACCCCTACCTGGAACCCTTGGAAGAGGCCGGAGAGCAGGTAATCAACAAACACTGAATCAGGATGAGAAGACAATTCTGATGCAAGAGCTGGGACGTTTATTGGTGTCGATAGGTGGACTGTCAGTAAGTCCTTGGCCCCCGACGCTTCTGTTGGGGCAGAGCCCTGCGTGGGCACACTGATTTTGGGTGTGCATCTTGGCAGTAACTGCAGGTGTGAAGAAATGCGCAGTTGGGGTAAGTGCACAGATTCTCATTGAAGTTATTACAAACAGGCTGGTTATTGAACATGTGCACCTTGCAGCTGTGGCTGTCTGTTTTCTCCGCGGAACGGGAATCCTGGTAGAGGCTAAGTGCGGTCGAATTTGGTTTCGGCCTTAGCGCCGTGCTCCGTTGGAAGAAATGGTACCATCGGGCAGAGATGTGCTGAGTGACCCGGGATACTGCAAGTTAGGCAAGTCACTGGCTGTGTGCCACCCACTATCATGACTACCAGTTCTGTGTCCAAGACCGACCAGTTCAGGCGGATGTTGGATTGGGCTATTTATACTGCGGCTTTGCTGGAGAACCCTTTGTGGTATTTGAAAAAGTTGTTTTTTCCGTACCTGATATTAAGGTCGCCAATCAGCACTAGATACACGTCCAGTTCTTGCGATCTGGGTACACGGAGCATATTACTTCTCGATAAATGCCGAAAGCAACTATGAATTTGCCGATTGACATGTCTTTTGACAATCTTGGGTCGGCCGATTTGATAAGTGCAGTAAATTTATCTCCGATGGTGATGTTACCTTCACACTTGGGGGATGGCAGTATGAGGCTGATGAGGTTAATATCTTTCCCCTGCAGGATTTTTGATCTTAGGCGTGGTGAAATGTTTGCTCCGGATGGAATATATGGCCTACCTGGAAAGGGAGTGGGGATGGCGGAGGCCAGGGAATTTTGAGGTCGGATTAGGTCGGATGCTTGCTGGGGTGCAGGTGCTGGCGGTGCATTGGACTGCAGATTTTGAGCTCCGCGCCTTGCCGAGGAAGATGAAGCTTGGTTGTCTTCTATGGACTGGAGGTGGGCATCTATGGCCTGGATAGAATTTACCAGTTACCAGAGTTGCTGAGAGGGCCGGAGGTTGGTCGAGCTGGGCTGAGCTGGGGGCGACAGCCTTACGTTTAGCTAGAGGAGCTGCATGGTGAGCTTTCTTTGCATGTTTGCGGCCAGGAGCTGTGGTGGTGGGCTCGTCCTGGACTGGTGATCCGAGGCCCACTTCGTTGATCAGGCTTTGAAGCTGTGAGCCATCTAAACCCGGAGCCGTATTTATGCCTTGAGCAGTTAAGATCTCCAGTAATTCGGAACCCGTTTCCTCTTGACGGGTGGCGATCCTAGCACTGTGCCGCGTTGCGGATGTGACCGAAGCCGAATCGTTCAATTCAGCATCAATGAATTCTGTGTCTGAGTCTGCCATCGTCAGGAGGGATATCAGCCCGATGATTAGCAGCCGAACGAACCGAGGATTTGCCATAAACGCCCGTCAGTACGGAGCCGCATGAAACAGCAGCAGGAAGCTGGAGGCGGGGATACAGCACATTTAAGAGGAGACAGCGGCAAGCTGATAGGCTAACGAAGAGGGTGTGACTCTGCACTATTAGCCGGGAACGGCCAGCTGTTGAACAGCTGATAGAGTCTATGACGCCTCTGACAGTGACAGCCGGAATAGAGAATGTGCTGCTAGTTAGGGAGCAGTATGAGAGAAAAGCATACGAGCATGAGCGTGCAGGGATAGTCTTCCTGTCTGAACTTGTGCTAGAGCTTCATTTAGCGGAGCCCCTGTGTGACCCCGGCTCGGGGTGCCCTTCGGCCGGCCTGTGAGGACAAGCGGTCCGCTTGTGCCCCACTTCCCCACACTCAAAGCACCTGATGCTACCTGTGCTAGCGTACACCATGTAGTGTCCCTCCTCATGCTTCACACTAAAGGAGACCTACAGCGTCTGTGAAGGACAGGTAAGGAACATCTCCTGAAGGACTGGACATGTTTCAGTTCATCATTTTTACAACCCAGACCCACAGTCCTGAAGCTGCTCGCCAGTTTCCCGAAGCGCTGCAGCTCTCACTCCAACACCTGGTTGGGGATGAATGGGGGAACATGGAGACCCGGGTGGAGGGCACTGCGAGCGGGGAAACCTGCAGATACACACCGTTCAGCGAGACGCCGCTCGATATTAACTCTGCAACAAAACGCTTCTCATTTAAAAACACCAGCACACCTCTGTTCATCCTGGAGGCATAGGACAGGTTAGCGTGTCCCACACGGTCTCCCACAGCCAGGAGTACCGCCTCTACTGGGACACACGGGTCGGGCTGAACCCAAACTCCATGCCTCAAAGACATGGACGGCGTCTCAGAGGACGCCATCCCCGACAAGAAACACGGTTCTCTGTCCACCAAAAACACCACTAATCGCTCAAAAATACACAGACAACAACCTTAGACCACCACAACTCAATCACACAGTGACCTATGAAGAAAGATTGAAGAAAATTTTGAGAAAAAACACCAAACATTTAGCCACGCTCTCCACACTCACCACCACCACGCTCTCAGAGAGAGAGAGAGAGAGAGAGAGAGAGAGAGAGAGAGAGAGAGAGACAGCCACAGAGAGAGAGAGACAGAGACACAGAGAGAAAGAGAGAGAGAGACACACACACACACACACAGAGAGAGAGAGAGCCACAGAGAGAGAGAGAGCCACAGAGAGAGGGGTGAAAAACGCATCCATGGTGGGAGCAAATGAGCAGAGAGAGAGAACGCAAGCGCAGTGGCTGCAGGGAGGGGGGTACAGAGTGGCGGATAATGGGATTGAGAAAGCGAGAAGCAGGAGTAGAGAGAAACAGACAGACAGAGAGAGAGAAAGAGAGACAGAGTTGGGGTACACCTGACCTTAAGAAGGGAGGGTAGCTCCTCTGCTAGCCACATACCCACACTTACACACACACACACACACACACACACACACACACATACATACGTACACTGTGCTAACACGCAGAGGCAGTGAGCCAGCAAGCAGAGAGCGTGTCGACCAGCAGCCATGACAGACACCGGTGAGTAGCTACATATCTAACATCCCCTAGTGTGTGTGTGTGTGTGTGTGTGTGTGTGTGTGTGTGTGTGTGTGTGTGTGTGTGTGTGTGTGTGTGTGTGTGTGTGTGTGTGTGTGTCTGTGCATGTTTTCATATGAGTGATAATGTGTTGCACCAGCTGTGGTCATGTGATTTTTGGTATCAGATAGATAGATAGATAGATAGATAGATAGACAGATTGATATATCTATAAAGATATATTTTCTGATGATGATAAATATAATTGTAGCAACAGTGAAGTGACCTGTCCAACCATACGGATTCATCTTAGTCTGAAAGGGTGCTTGAGGTTGGAGTTATGTTGATATTTATATATTGCTGTATTCATACAACAATTACTCAAATTCAGTCTCTCTTGCCAGTGCGGTGAAGGTCAGCTGCAATATCTTTATGTGTAGGGGCAAAATAGAAAAATAAAAACGATTTAAAGATTACTGTGGAAGACATAAAAAGATACTTAAAAAGTTGATGTTGCACTACTATAGTAAACTAGGCACACTCAAGGAAAGAACGTAACATTGACCAATATGAACACTTTCCCACTCTAATTGTGAGTGAAATAAGACAATCTTGTGTACATTCTTCATTCACTGATTGTCTTTTTTTTATTCTCACTAATTTCTCACATTTAAAAAACCTTAAAGGCTCGGGTACTGTAACCAGCATTCAAAACAAGAAATCAGAGAACACTGTTCAATGTTGTGACGGTCAACACACAGCTCATCATTCAGGTTACTGAATACATTCACTATTAAAATGTTCATGTGTCAACATATATTGCTAAAATTTCAAACAGATTTGTCTTCAGAACATATCAGAGACCAGATGAAACACGCCCAAATATAGGTATCTCATAATTCATCTTAATGAGGCTAAGGGCTTTTAAATCCATGTTATCCATAGTTTTTTGTTTTGTTCTGTTTGCAAAAAGAAGTCAGGTTCCAAAAACCCAAGATGGCCACAAACCACGACCACCTCCACTTATATTTACAGTCTCTGGTGCAGCCAGTTCAGTGGGTGAATAAAGATGCTTCTGGCATTTCATCCAATTGCATTTCGACAAAGAAATGTCTTTGCATTGCTAGCAGCTAAACAGCTAATTAAACAGCTATCCAAAATGCAATGTTGCGAATCATTTATTTTCACTTTCGCCATTGTTATGTCAGATGTTATGTAGCAATCTTCCAGCAGTGTCAATGGAGGTGTCAGCACACAGCTTGAGTCATAGATTCTGTTCATGTGAATTCTGAAATTCTCTCAGAGGATGACGTTTACAATCTTTTGAAGAATTCTGTTTCTCTAAATGACTTCGACTCACACTACCCTAATTAATCATTTATATAGTAAATCATCCATCTGTATCTCTTAGGTTAGCATACAAATACAAACATAAAAATGACCTATATGACTTTACTGGCACAACTAACTAAAGTGACATTTAATAGTAGCCTCATGCAATGACTTTTGTTTAAATTTTATAGTTTGCTGCTAACCTAGCAAACACATCTGTTTTTGACAAATTGCCCACTATAATGTAGTGTGTAAGTGGAAGCCTGGTTTTTGCTGATGCCAATGATAATGAAAATGTGACCCTATTTTAACATCAGACATGCTAATAATAACATTAGCCTAATGCTAGCTGCCATCGTTTTTAGCATCACATTACATAAGGGAATTGAGATAACTATTGAAACATTAGACAATCTGTGAAGACAACAAGATACTGGATCAGATTTCTGCTATAAAAAATCTACCTACCAAGACATGGCCAAAGAACGTGACTATGGCCGATCTGCTGACATGCATTGATTTGATTTGATTTTTCATTTCTGAGCAAACTGACCCATTGTTTCCTTGCTGAAATAGTCCACACATGATGGACAGAAGGGGAGGTGGATGGGTCAAACAAACACTGGACTTTAATCCAGGAGACCGCAGTTCATGTCCTATACGAAACAAAAAGTAAACGTTGACATTATTTATTTTAGTTGTTGGTAACGTGAAGGGTTAATGTCGTTAGTCACGAGACTCACGTGCGACACGTAGCCACATTAACTTCAACCATGCTCTTTTCCTAGACCTAACCAAGTGGTTTTGTTGCATAAATATTCCTGTGAAGACGGAAGTTTACTTTGAGAGGATGCTATGCATGTATTGAGGATACAGTATACTGACCTTCTGTCGCTGAGACATGCAAAACTAAAGTACTATAGTTTAAAGCTTTGGAGCAGTTATTTGATGCATTGGTGTGAGAATGTTTTGGAAATGATTCATTGCATGTTACTCATTGCATGAGTTGACGCTGGGAATCAATCAACATCTTAAATGTCAATATGACAACTTCACCTTTCCTATAGTTTTTTTTT